AAAGAGGGGAAGCGTGCTGGGAGGGGCTCCGGGCCCGGGGCGACGGGGAGGGGGCTGCAGCCCGGCCGGAGCGCCAAGAGCTCGACCAGCGGCCTGGCGCGGCGCTGGGCCACTTCGCCGGGCACGGAAACTCAGGGTGGCTTCGGAAGGAGGAGGGGCAGGGGGAAGTGAACCCAGCGCGCCCTCACCCTGGCTTTCCGTCCTGGAGCGGATTTGTGCCTTCTGTCCCCACCTTTACGGCCCCCTCCCACTCCTATTCCCCAGATCTCTTTAATGAAAAGTAGTTTATTGCCCCGCTGTTACGGCCTAGGCCCTCCGAGCAGGAGACAGGAATGGGGAAAGAGCCGGCATTAAATCCTTCAAGCCAGAGCCTTATCTTTTGATAAACAGAGCCTTATCTTTGGATAAACCACCTGCCCCCCTGCGGATTACAAAGGCTAAATTCTCCCCGGAAATGTGATCGATCCGCTGCCTGAGTCGTTTATCGATCTGGGTCTGGGTAACCAACCTGTGATATCATTTACCAGTGAGGTTTCAAGACTGTAACACCACTGCCTTAAGCCTAGGGCTTCCCTGGGACCCTCCCCAGGAAGGCTAGGAGGGAAGGGAGCACACAATGGAGAAAATCCACCACTGGGTTGGAGACTGTCTCATCACTGGCCCCAGGCTCTGGCTTTCTCACCACCTGTCCCTCTGATATGGAAAACCGACTTTCCAAGCCACTTGTCTGTCCCTGGACTTGGAACACAATTACTATTTAATTCAATTTACACCCCCTCATCTATTTCAACATAGTTTCCATTGTAATTTCAAATATTTAAAGTACTGTTTTCACAATTAATCCTATTGTTTCACAGTCACAACAAGCTTTGTGACTGTGGACCAATGCGAAGCATGTGAAATGGAGGCCAAGAATTTTACAATCTAATTGTGTTAATACTTTTTTTCTCTGCACTGTCAGAACCCATGTAGCTATCTAAGACTGTTCACACATTTGCCTGGTACAGAGTATCATACTACCCCTCCAACTTTCTTGGAGAAGGATGCTAGAACACCAAATGATGCTGCTATCTCAATATTTGACCTGCCGCAAATCACTTAATACCATAGGCATTAGAGTCATCTTAAAGTTCTCTGTGAAATGTCGGTGCTGAACTAGATGGTCTTTTAAGATTCCTCCCTACAGGGTCTTCCCTGGTGGTGCAGTGGTTAAGAATACACCTGCCAAAGGAGGAGACACAGGTTCGAGGCCTGGTCCAGGAAGATCCCACATGCTGCGAAGCAACTAAGCCCGTGTGCCACAATTACTTAGCCCTCGTGCCACGACTACTGAAGCCTGCTTGCCTAGAGCCCATGCTTCGCAACGAGAAGCCTGCGCACCGCAACCAAGAGTAGCCCCCGCTCACTGCAACTAGAGAAAGCCGGCTGGCGGCAACAAAGACCCAGCGCCGCCAAAAATAAATAAATAAAATAAATAAAAATTTATTAAAAAAAAAGATTCCTCCCTACATACATTCCAAACCCCTAGCAGTAGTTACTCCTGTTGGAGACAGTTTTGAGTTCTTTGTTTTTCATAATTAGCATGTATGGATATTGACATTTAAAAAATATTTTTTAAATTTTCTTCTCTAAAACTCTAGAATTTTAGGCTTGATTGAGCACCTAATCTATGCTCATTTACAAGGATTTAAGGAACAGAAGAGAGAGAGAATTCAGTTGATGTTTGTGGACCTGAAAACTGAATCCAGTTGACAAAATGCTTGTCCCTTCCCTCAAAGAGAAGAGAATACAGTTGAGAAACAGAGACACCATTAAGACTGTATCTAATAAAATATGCATTAGGATTCCAGAAAATGGAGGCCTGGAGTAATCCAGGAGAACTTCCTGGAGGAGGCTGTCCCTCTACTAGGGACTGGAGGATGGGCTGAATGGAGTACCTTCAGCTCCTGGAATACTCTGCCTCCTCTGAACTCCTCCAAGCCAGGTGCATTTGCCCTAAGCTGCTTTGACTTGTGTGTATTTGTCCATAACACAGTTCCTCTCCCCTGAGAGCACCTGGTATACAAGGACTGGCTTAAGTTATCTTATACTTCTTTGCACTCCTCACATAGCAAATATGCACAGTAGTAGTCACTCACTGTATGAGAATCTGTTGAATGAATGATCAGGGGGAAAAGAAAAGGTGGAGTGAGGACACTGAAGCCTGAACCTGCAGGTGACAGGCAGAGGGCCAGGAGGACAGTGTCCACCTGGGGAAGAGCCAGGCAAGGGGGTGAGACACAGGAAAAGGACATAAGGAGAAGGATGGGTGTTGGGGGTCCAGAATGTGAGAGATCTTGATACTAGGCACAGGGCTCCCCTATCAGAGAAGATTACAGAAAACCATTGTCCTGGGAGAAGATGATCTGACAGTGATGTTCAGTGATGCGAAAAGGAGGAGACAGGGCATCACTGCCTTGAGCAAGTCCTGTTCCTTGTGGGAGTAGGAGGAAGACCTGGATAGACCCTCAGCACTGAGCTCCTCAGGGAAGGGCTGGGCTGTGGGAATCTGGGACCACCTTTGGTGAAAAATCAAGACAGCCTGTGGGTTCATGGCAAAAAGATTCCTAATGGCACTCGGCCACTCTTCCTCTGTGGGCTGCAATGTGTTCTGGAAGTGCTAATTAAGCCAGAGAAACCCCTGGTGAGGGGAGCCGGGGTTTAGCTGTTGGAGGGAAAGAAGAGGAAGGGGTTTGGCTTGCACTGGGTCACCTTATGAGTCAGAGCAGTCACCCAGTAGGCACCAGTGGTTTCCCACTCACCCTCCTTCTGGATCAGGATCTGAACATGGACCTGAGGATAAGAGATCCGGAGGAGAGAGGAAGGGTGATTGCCTACAGGCTGATGGCCTTCTTGTGGTCTAAGAAACCCCAGACAACCTGACATCTGCTAAGTTCAGGGTCTTGAAGCACAACTTGAGGACCCCCCAACTTCCCCTGCGCTCCCGAATTACCGCAGTTGGAGGGAGCAACCGAGCACCAGCCCCCACGGTGCCAGGGTGTCTGGGAATTACTTGGGTAGAAGTTATTAATACCTATGGGAGAAAGTCTCCTTTCTCTCCTGGGGCCATCTAGCCAAGAGACTTTAAGTATAAAATGGTACAGGCTCTCCCTTCTTCCCTGGGTACATTTCAACCTCATGCAGACTTCCTTCCCAACAGTGCCTTAGGCATGCCTTTCTGCTCTACACACATTTACTGAGTGCCTCACATGTGCCTGGCACTTTCCCAGCAATGACTGAGACTGGCTGAAGGCTCCTTGGAGACAAGACTGTGTCTCATTTGTTCAGTACCCAGCATGCCTGGCACAGAGTAGGTACATTCGGTGGTCTATACTGAAAACATCTGCTCAAGGAGCTAGTAGTGCTGGAGAGGATTAGGTAAACCCCTATTTTGCCACCTCCATCCATGAACTGCAGACGACTCTAATCCAAGGACACTGTGTAGTTCAAATGACAAAATATAATTGCAATTTTATTTTAAGTTTAGGATAAATAAGGGAAGGAGGCCTTAAAATAAAGATGCAAACTGACCGATACCTGGAAATCTGATTTTTCAAAAACAGAGAATTGTAGGATGCTTAGAACCATAGAAATTTCCAACTGGAAGGGACCAGAGAGGTTATTTATTACTTAATTTTACAGAGTAGCAAATCGAGACCAAGAGAAACTAAGTAAGCTGCCCAATGCCACACAGCTAGGGAGTCCTAGACTTGTCATCTTTGTCCTCCACTACTTGTATGAGCTTATTCCCACACGAGAAGAGTTCATTTAAAGAGCATTACAGATACCTGCAGATCCAGAATGTTGCTCTCCATTGACCCTCAGAGTCCCTTGTTCCAATTCTCCATTCACATAAGCATCACAGGCTGCCTACAAACAACCCCCCACCCCGTCCAGGCAGGATGCTCCTCAAGGGCAG